TACTGCCCCCTGCTCATGCCCTGCAGACCCCTGGCACCTCTCTACAGCCCTGGGAATCAATCATGCAATAGGGCCTGTCACTGCTCATCAACACTGACTGGCAGTGACACCACCTCCGAGGCCTGATGCTCTGCCACAGTCACTAGGTCACCTGAGTAGAGTTAGGATTATTAAAAATCAAATGAACCAAGCAGGATGTTACTCCAGGGCCAATATTGATCTGTCCCTACCCAAATGAACTAAGATTAAAAACCAAATAACAGAAAGCACAACGTTACCCTTCAGACCACACTGTGATTCATCATAGGCTAAAACAAATTGTTCCATTATTTGCTTCCCTCATCTTTCATTCAGCCTGTCATCTGATAAGTGGAGGATTTTTTGAGGAAGAGGTCAAGAACATTCATGGGTAGAATACATAAAAGCTAGCAATATAAAGGATGACATTTAAAAAAATAACTTTATTCCCTAATTATAGAAACAAAGTACATTTGCTTTTGAAAATCCAAGTCATACGGACAAGAAACAATATGATGAAAGGTCCCTCAGAACCTCACCCTAAAAGAAAGCCAGAGGTCCTGGTTAGGGTAAGGTTCTCTTTTCTATGGGGTGGTTTGAGGGAGGCCCAGCCAACATGCTGCCTTTTTTGGGGGGATGTGTCCCTACAGGGCTGGGCCTCTAACAGGACATCACAGCTAAGAAGCCCTGGAGTGGCTGGTCCTCAAAGGGGGTTTGTGATATTTAAAAATGATTTACACTTATTTTAAGTGGGTGTATCTGATATCCCCAGAAAGCTGGTCAGCTATGGCAATTGCCCTCACAAAAGACTACCATTGTGACTATGAATTATTTTAAGTTGTCCTAAGTATGGACAATTGGCCTTTAGGATCTGTTGAGTTCCAGCAGGAGATGCCAAGTTGCAGAGATATTTAAAGACATACAATTCCTATTTCAGTGACCTAAAACCCCAACCCTCCTCTTCTTTCAGGCAAAGACCCTAGCCCAGTGTTTGCCATCTGATGAGTATTTGCCGACAGACCGACCAACCTGGCACATGAGGGAGGGAAGAGCCTGGGTGAACGTTGCCATGTATGTGGTTAATTCTAGAAACGTCACACCCGACAACACCCTTGCAATGACAAAGGAAGCTCAGTTGTACATATTTTGAAGGGGATTTTAAAAAACATTCTTCTTAGAGAGCAGAAAATTACATTTGCTAATTTAATAAAACTATTCTCTGTTGAGACAGCACAGGAGGTGGATGAAGAGTTTCACTAGACCGTCTTCCTTTGCGGGTGTTGCCCCAAGTATTCATCCGCCACCAGCCAGCCTAGACAGCTTGCCAGGAAAGCAGCAGTTTGGTCTCATGTTGCAAGTTCTGCTTCGAACTTTGTGACCTGGATGCCTTCCTCATGACTTGGGGTCTGACTGATTTGTTTTGTCCCAATCTATTTTCTTTCGGTCCCTTGTTTTGATCCAATGCCAATTTTCAGGAGATACGAAATTTACTGTCATATAACATGATGGTGTTATTGTCAGTGAATTCATTTTCCTGGGAGGAGATCTCTTTTTGAGTCAATAGCATTATTTTCTGTCAGCAATGACTTACGATGCCTTCCAAACTCCCAGGCCCCTTCACTATGACAGATCCTCCCTCTTACATTAGAGGTAAAAAAAGGCTTTGACAAATAGCCCAGGCTTTACTTGAAGAGCATGAACTTAGTGGTGTAGCCAGTGAGCTGTTCCTTTTTTAAGGTATTTATTTTACTCACATATCTTTCATTTTCATTCATTCACACATGTATTCACTTCTCTAGCGTATCCATGACTAAACAATGACACACAGGGAGAAAAGAAAGATGCCTTCACTTTGAACTTCCACATCCCCTAACTTCCCATTTGACACTTTCTTCCCAACCTGATAGACTGGTCCAAAGATATCCAGTTTGTCCCTAGGGGAACAGTTCTAACTCCATAGCCAGGCAACATAAATATGACCACCTGGGGATGTGGTACCCTCCTCCCCATGCCTTACTCCTCAGACTCCAATTCTGAGCACCAGAGAGAAAAGTCATGTGAGAAGTAAAGCTGGGTCCTGGAGCCAAGGTGGTGAGGACAGGGGTGGGGACAGCTTCTGGCCAGCACCCACTCTGGGGCCAGCAACACGGCCGTGAGCTGGGACCCCTCCCCACCAGTTCCATCCCTCCCCATGCAGCGCTTTCTTGCTGCTCAGCCCAGAGCTGTTTGCTTTCTTCCCTAACCTTCATGTTTCATCCGAGGTACATCTGTGATGGGCAAACACACATAATAGAACTCTATCCTTGAATAACTCCACAACAAAGCTGTCTTCTAAGAATAATAGCTAATCCCAGGGTGTTTTCATTAAAAACAGATTTCAGTGACAGACTATCAAAATATTATCCGTGTACAAAAAGCAATATGATAGGGTAGAATTATGCAAAGCGTACGGGCTTCACTCTGCCCTGAGCAACCCAGGGCCCTCTCCCATTGGCTTCAGTATCTCATTTATTTCCTGTCACGGGTGTGCAAGCAGACTAAGTCCTACTCAGCGCTTTTGTAGGCTCCAAGTGGAAAAAAAAAAAAAAAAAGACTGGTGAACTGCATTTCTGCCTCTATTTTCAAAATCCATCACCAGTTATCCTTGAGGGGTGGGGTTTTGTGTTCCTAGGGAGTTGGAGAGGTATTATCTAGCAAAGCAGGCTCAGAGTCACCCAACATGCATTGACTATCTCCTACATAGCTGGCATTGTTTTGGACACTGCAGATACAGTGGTGAATGCTCATCGCTAGCATTTATGTGATTTCCTATGTGCTAGGAACTGTTCTGAGTGCTTTACACATATCAACCCATTTGATCCTCACAATAATCTAGTGAGGCGGTTGCTATGGCTGTCTGCACTTTACAGAGGAGGAAACTGAGACACGGAGAGTTGCTGTCATATGCCCAATGTCGTGCAAGCAGTAAGGAGCAGAGGCAGATTCAGAGCCAGTCACCTGGGTCCAGAGTCCCATGCTCAGTGGCCCACTCCACAAAGACTAGTGTGGTCCCTGCCCCTCAGGAGGGAAGACACACCTCCTCGCTAGATTATTGTGAGGATCAAATGGGTTAATATGTGTAAAGCACTCAGAATAGTGCCTGGCACATCGGAAACCACAGAAAGGCTACAGACAAGAGCTCCAGGCAGGTCCTGTCCAGTGAGTTACATTTTATTTTGGTCAGAAATACCTTTAAGACACTGATGGCAATGTCCCTTCTCCCCAGAACCTCTGAAGCCCCAGCTTCCATTAGGCAAACAGTCCACTTTCCCTCCCTCCTTCCCTCCCTCCCTCCCTTCCTTCCTGCCCTCCCTCCCTCCCTCTCTTCTTTTTTTCTTTCCTTCTTTCTTTCTTTCTCCCTCTTTTTCTTTCTTTCTCTTTCTTCTTTCTTTCTTTCTCTCTCTCTTTCTCTCTTTCCTTCTTTCTTTTCTTTCCTTTCTTTCTTTCTTTCCTTTCTTTCTTCTTTCTTTCTTTTTCTTTCCTTTCTCTCTTTCCCTTCCTTCCTTTCTTTCTCTTTCTCTCTCTTTCTCTTTCTTTCTGTCTCTCATTCTCTCTCTTTCTTTCCTTCCTTCCTTCCTTCCTCCCTCCCTCTCTTTTTTCTTTCCTTCTTTCTTTCTCTTTTTCTTTCTTTCTTTTTCTTTCTTCTTTCTTTCTTTCTGTCTTTCTTTCTTCTTTCTTTCTTTCTTTCTCTCTCTCTCTTTTCCTTCCTTCCTTCCTTTCTTTTTCTCTCTTTCTCTCATTCTCCTTCCTTCCTTCCTTCCTTCCTTCCTTCCTTCCTTCCTCTCTCCCTCCCTCCCTCCCTCCTTTCTTTCTCCCTTTCTCCCTCTCTCCCTCCTTCTCTTCCCTAGTTTTCACTTTACCTTTATAGTCTCTTCTTTCTGAAATTTATCATTGGGTGTAGCTAATGTTTTGTTTCATTTACTATTGTGAAAGGAAAATAAATCTCGGGACCCCCAAATCACTAAGCCAAGGGAAAAGTCAAGCTGGCAACCACGGCAGGCAAACCAGCTTCCCATTTTATTCCTAAATAAGGCAGCTACAAAGATTTTTAGAAAGTCACAAACCTCCCTCATAATTTGCCCATAGGAAATTTCTTGTGGGCCTCAAGATCTTTACCCTAAAACGGTTCTGTTGAATTTCACCCTGGCAATGTAAACTGATAGCTGATCTTCACAGCTCACCTGAGAAAAATGCATAATTGATTGCTTCCTGTGCCCTATTGTTTATGTAAAAATGCAGATTCACTGAGCCAGACTAAGTTGAATATTCAGTGAAAGGCTGATCAAGGACTCAAAAGAACGCAACCTTTCGCCTCTCATCTACCTATGACCTGGAGGTTCCTGCTTCCTGTTTTCCCCCCTTTCCGGACCAAACCAATGTACATCTTGTACATATTGATGTCTCATGTCTTTCTAAAATGTGCAGAAGCAAGCCGTGCCCCACCACCTTGGGCACATGTCCTCAGGACCTCCTGACACCATCATGAGTGCAGCCTTAACCTTGCCAAAAGTAACTTCCTAAATTGACTGGGACCTGTCTCAGATGCTGAGCTCACACTGTTTCATTCTAGCTTTCCCCCAGGAATAGTTTTCCAAATCCTTGAATAATTTAAGTAATTACATAAATAATGATATATATTAAGTAATCACTTAATATATCATAGTATATGAAATTTCTTATTAACGTGTGTCTGTTTCAGGACTTTACTCCCATGGGTCTTTCTGGTCATATGCCCACACATGGAGCTTTAGTGTTTGCATGTGTGTATATACATGGACTAACGCATATAAACCTATGTACTATATGTGTATTATATCTATCACGTTGGGTAGTACAGGTGCCCCTTTATTAATTTTGTTTTCTCATTTTTATAAAAGAGATGGAGTCTTGTTATGTTGATCAGGCTGTTCTCAAACTCCTGGGCTCAAGTGACCCTCCTCACTCAGCCTCTCAAAGTGCTGGGATTACCGGCCTGAACCACTGCACCCGCCCCTTCATTAATTTTTTAAATAAGGTCTCTTTTCAGGTTTGCATTTTTGTCCATCTAGAATCCAGAGAGCTGGTTGCTCTGGGCCCAGGGGAGTATGCTGGGTGTGCAGGAGAATGCCACCAACACCCACACTCAGGGCTCCCTACGAAGATGCCACTAGAGTCCAATACTTAGACCCACTGGCCATCCTCCAGAACATAAAAACTCACGTATTTTGTTAGCGGGATTAAATTAAACTAAGAAATGAATCTGGGAAAGTGTTGCCCATTAAGTTATCCCATCCAGGAGCACCATGTCTCTGTATGTATTAAATTCCTGTTTTGATTTTTTAAATGAATCTTCGTAGATTTCTTCATGTAGGTCACACAAAGTCCTTGCTGCTTTGTAGCCCATGTTTTCTTTTTCCTGAGTTCAAAATGTTTTCTGAAATTATCGTAGGTTTTGGCCAAGAATGCTGTCTCATTCTGCATTTTTAAAGCATAATAGTCCCTTATTCCCTTCTGTTGTCTTTTATCAGCCTAGTATTTGTTTCCAAGTATTACCTTTAAACACAGTTCCTGGTCTGAAGTGCCGCCTGGGAGGACAGAGGTCCCCCATCATGGGAGGACAGAGGTCCCCCATCATGGGAGGACAGAGGTCCCCCATCATGGGAGGCCAAATCTCCTCCCCCTGTGGCCACTCCTCCGAGCAGGGGGTACCCGCTGTGGATTTCACCTCAAGTAAGGTGCTTGGTGTGGGGGCAGGGGTTCTACTTCTTCCTTCAGGGTCCCCAGGGACAGAGCTCCAGGCTCCCTTGGATGTGGCTCTGCCAGTTCTAGGGGAGGCTCTCCTGACCTGACCAGCCCCAGGTGTGCTCCGGCCAGCTTCCAAGGGACTAGTGCAGTCAAGACTTGGGCCTGGACCATGGGTCTGGCAGGGGATTGGCTGGATTTGCTGGTGATTCACTATTTTGAGGCAACGAGATAAGGAGCAGAGGCCAGCACGGGGACCCAGGTGGTCATAAAGGGTGACTTCTTACTCAGCACTTGTTTCATTTGCTGTGCACATAGTTCCTTTCAGGGCCTCATGTGGAGGGGGCTTTTCATTCACGCATTCACTCAGCAAATGTTTGTGGTGGGCCAGCTGCACACAGGCACTGTGGGTCAGGCAACATGTGAGTGAGCGGCACAGCCTACCGGCCCTGGCTGTGGAGCTTGTGTTGAGGGGAAGAGGGCAACCAAAACCACGGCAAATATGTAAAATGCACACGTTAGAGACCGTGCGATTTCAAGAAACATCACACGAGAAGCGAAATGTTAAAATGTAGGCAGGAGACGAAGGTTTCCCTGGGTCTCCAGGAAAAACTTCAAAGATAAGGAGACTTTGAGTAAAGACCTGAAGGAAGCTAAGGAGGTGTCTATTCCTGCCCAAGGGAAGAATATTCCAGGCAAAAACGCCCAAGGTGGGAGAGCACCTGGGTTTCCTGAGAAACTGCAGAGTCCAGTGTGGCCGGAGCATGGGGAACAAAGGGGAGGACAGGAGGAAATAAACCTGGGATGTCACGAGGGGCTGGGTCGTGTCAGGCCTTGAGTCCACTGGAAGGACTCTGCTGTTTACACATTGCAAGGTGGGAAGTCACTGGGGAGCCCTGAGTGGGGAAGCGACATGATCTCGCTGGCATTGAGCAGGGGCTCTCTGGCTGCTGCTTTAAAAACACACTGGAAGGAAGAGGAGGGAGGAAGTTGGGAGACCTTGCAAGAATCTAGGCCAGACACGATGGTGTGAACAGGGTGGGAGTGACGTAGGTGGTGAGAATTTGGCAGAATTGTAGTTAGGGGAGAGTTGTCGCTGGCAGGGCGGTATTGCATGTCATTTGTAAAGCCTGTGGCTAACCTTTTGCTTGTTTTGCACCTGCTCTTACAGACTACAGAGAGAAGCTGGCTGCTCCTTACCTGCTCGTCTTGCTGCCTGTGACAAAGCTTATTTTTGGGTGACATGAAGCATCTTATCTTTCCCATACCAGAAGCTATAATCTGTTTTCATGTGTCTCTCTCTGAATCTGCCTTCTTCTATTGTGGCCATCACAGCTTTGACTACGCCCATTGAATTGCTATACCCACTTCCAGCTTTCCTGAATTTTTGGGATTTGGAGAGCTCCAATAAGTATAGGAAGAGAGGAGCAAGCAGAGGCTTTGAGACTGACTGGTGCAGGCCTGGAGCTATCGAGGGCAGGTGAAATGTGCAGGTAGGCAGAGGTCTGGGCTGATCTTCAGAGTCCGATTGCACTTTTATCCTGGTAATCAGTTCTGGAGTCAGATATACCAATCCCTATTCCTAGCTTCCAGAACAGTATTATTTTGCATCATTTTGGAAGCTTTCATAAAACTATTTTTATGGAAGTTGCTTTTTGGGGGAAGGAGAGGCATCCAAGAAAATCTATCATCAGTCAACCTGCTAACTGGACAGCACCTTTTCCAATCACATGTTTTTCTACTGGATAATATTTTAAATTCTACAATCACATGAGGGTCTCAGATATTGAAAAACAAGCAGTAGCACATTTCAACATAAGGATATTAAAACCCATAGGCATGCACTGACTCGGATATATGCAACTGTGTGTGGTCAACTCTTGTCTTTACCATTATAGCATCTAAAAAGTCCCGGAGACAAAATAAATTATGTTAGTAGGTGATAAGATATTGAGGGCTAATGAGGCAAGAAATATTATAATATCCAAATTGTGATTTTTTGTTTAGTAACTATTGTTTCCATATTGAAAGTCTATGAAAACATAAAGAGTTTCCAGATGTGATATTGAACATAGAACTAGAGGTTCTGGATGATAATGTCACCCAGCCAGGGAGAAGGAGAAGTTAGATTTTGGATCTCGCCTCAACATGTCAGCTAAAGGAGAATACATGTCTACTGACAGCTATGAGCCAGAGGGGCTCATAGTTTTCCACAACTCTGAAAACTGGGTCTCTACAAGTAAGCACAGTAATCAGAATATTAAAAAGCATGAGTGTCAGGAAACAGTGTTCCACAAATGTTTTTATGCTTTTGGCATTAATGATTTCTGAGCAAAGGCACTTGGGTTAAAGAATGATTATTGGCTACTTTAAAGAGGCTTCTAGAGAGATATAAAGTCTTCTCTCTTCTGGAGATGGTGATAGCCTACAGTCCTTTGCCTCCTCTCCCCAGAGAGATTTATTTTAAATTCCACAGTGGAGATCTGCCTTTGGCCAATTAAATGTGATGTTCACTGTAAGCAAGACGTTTTAAGAGGTATCATGAGTTTCACCATCCCTCTTGCTACTGCCCTCTTTCCCGTAAGAACACCATGTTCTAGTTCTAGATTGGGCTATGCCTTCAGCCTACACTTCTGAAGCACATCTGAGCCCAAACCAGAACGGGAAGGAAAGCTGCAGCTGACCCACAGCCAAATGTGGTGTGAGTGAGAAATAAACCTTTTCTGTGGAAGCCAGTGAGATTGTGTGGATGTTTATTTCACAGCATAACCAGCAAAAGGAAGCTAATGCAGTTGCATAGCCAGCCTCCATTTCTACCCCTCTTCCGAATTAAATTCTATTGCTCAGGGCAAGATGGCATGTCCTGATTCTTTTATGCCACCAGCACTTGGCTTTTCCCTAAATCAACCCACTTCGAAGGAGGGGTCTTATAGTTCACCAGTGGAGGAGAGGTTACGGCACAAATAGAAACTTGCAAGGTTGCACTGAAGGGTGTCTGTCTTCTTTCCCGTGGCCCATTCAAACTATCCCAACCAACCAGGTCCTCTACTTTTTCTTTCTGTATTTTCTGTTTTTTTTTTTCCTTTCATTGAAATTTCAAGCTCTTTCCTTATGATCTTTCCCTGATTACTGTCAACTCTGGGATCAAATTCCTCCCAGAGGTTGTTACGTCAGAACACATTTTGTGTGCCCCCCTCAATGTTACCACCGGGACTTGGCTCCTGTTGACAACAGCTGAGGAGCTATATTACTGGTACAAGCCCACAGTGGAATTCCTGTATCTTCACTAGGTTTTCATCCCAAGCATTGAAAACCACGGGAAGTAAGTCTCCAGCATCATCCAAGGACTACATAATCTCCTTGAATCTATTATCTTGGGTCCTTTTCAATCTCTTTAGCTGGCAAGCAGTGAATCTCCGTGAAGGCACTAATACAATCACAATGTTGAATTTCACAGACTAAACTGGGTCCTCCTGGAGGCATTTACATTTTAGAAGAAGTGCCACCTTCCATCATAGCAGCTGGAACAGAGAGGGAGTAGGAGGAAGACCTGCCAAGGGAGGTGATCATCTTGGCTGCTTTCACTGTTTACCATGGCCCAGGAGGGGCTTCTGACAAAATAGCACTCGGAGTATGCTAGAGATTGCTCATATTGCGCCAAAGAGCTTAAAGGATCTCATATTTACAGATTTAGTGAAATAGCTTCCCTAAGCGGCATCCAATAGTTTGAGGAAGGTGGAACGATTTTAAGGTGGCCCATTGAGCAAAGCAAGATAACATAGCTTGGTGGAAATCAATTCAGTGAATCCATGTCATGTGATGACACCGACAGGGATGCTTTCAGATTTGTGAATACCCAGAAACAAAGAGTTACATTCAAGGGGTTGTGATGGGAGGGACATATGATTCCCAGCTATGGAAAAGACAGAAGAGCAGAGGAAGGTAGAGAAGCCCCAGTTCAAGTCTCATTCTGCTACTTTCTGGCTCTGAGATCTTCTGCAAGTTACTCAGCCTTGAGTAAGAGAATTAGAATTCTATCTATTTCACAGTGCTGTCAACGGATTTTGGAGGGAAAATACATAGAAAGGCTTTAAGAACAGCACCAGACACATAGCATCCATTGCCTACAGGATAGAGAGAGGATTCAGTGTTGAAAAAGGCATGTCAAACTCAGGAGCTAGAGGGCCCTAATGATGTGCTAATGCTTGGAAGAGCTGCAACCACCAATCCCCTTTTTGCTTTAATTTATTTTTAAAAATCTTGGCATACTTTCAGACTTACAGAGAAGTTGAAAGAATACGACAATGAATTCCCTAATATATTTCACACAGATTCTCCAAATGTTCACATTTTGCTGTTGTTTTTCCTTTTTCTCACTGTCTCTATGTGTGTGAGAGACATATAATTTATATATTTATACATATTTATATATACATATGTGTGTGTGTATCGTGTTTTCCTGAACCATTCAAGAGTAATCTGTAGACAGGATGCTCCCATATTCCTAAATACTTTGATGCCTATTCCTAAAAACAAGACATTCTTTTTATATACCTATAGTAAGTACAGTTATAAAAATCAGGATATTAACCCCAACATGGTACTATTATCTAATCTACAGACCTTACTCAGATCTCATCAATTTTCTCAATAATGTCCTTTATGAAAAAGAAAACTCCATAATGCAAGATCTTGTGCTACATTCAGTTCAGTTATCTTTCTTTGTATTTTATGGCACTGATGGTTTTTATTTATTTATTTATTTTGAGATGGACTCCTGCTCTGTCACCCAGGCTAGAGTGCAGTGGTGCGATCTTGGCTCACGGCAACCTCTGCCTCCCGGGTTCAAGTGATTCTCCTGCATCAGCCTCCTAAGCAGCTAGGACTATAGGCACCCGCTACCATGCCAAGCTAATTTTTTGTATTTTTGGTAGAGATGGGGTTTCACCATGTTGGCCAGGCTCAACTCCTGACCTCAAGCAATCCTCCTGGCTCAGGCTCCCAAAGTGCTGGGATTACAGACGTGAGCCACCACGCCCAGCCCGCTGATGGTTTGTAAGGGTGTAGGTTAGTTACTTTGTACAGCAGTTCTCCCTTCAAATTTGCCTGATGTTTCCTTGTGATCAGAGTCAGGCTCTGACTTCAGCAGGAGCCACAGAAGCCTTGCCAAGTCCTCAGAGCCCTGTAGCAGGAGGCATTAGGTTGGTGCAAAAGTAATTGCAGTTTTTGACATCAAAAGTAGTGACAAAAAATAACAAAACTCACAATTACTTTTGCACCAACCGAATACAAGCTGCACTGGTGAGGGCAATTCTTGGTGAAGGTGCTGTCGGTCAGATTTCTCCACTGTAAAGTCACTATTTCATCCTTTGTAAGGTGTAAGCATCCTGTGTAGAGATACTTGGAGATTACACAAATATACTGTCAGTTCAAACTTTCATCCATTTACTTTAGCATCCATTAATTTTTTTTTGCCTGAATCAGAGGCCTCTATTTATAGCCCATTATTTTTTTTAACTTTTATTTCAGGTTCAGATCTGTTGCACAGGTAAACTGCTGTCATGGGGGATTGTTGTACAGATTATTTCATCGCCCAGGTACTAAGCCTAGTATCCAACAGTTATCTTTTCTGCTTCCCTCCCTCCTCTCCTTCTCCACCCTCAAGTAGACCCCAGAGTCTGTTTCCTTCTTTGTGTTCATGAGCTCTCATCATTTAGCTCCCACTTATAAGTGAGAACATGCCATATTTGGTTTTCTGCTCCCCTGCCAGTTTGCTAAGGGTAATGGCAGAGGTCTCTTTTTAAACAGAGTTTAGAATTCTATCACTTAAGAAATATTTCCCATGGCAATGGATCTTATGAGACTCATCAATGCCATTATGGAGTAAAGCACCTCTCCAAAAAAAATGAACTCCTACTTGGTGTGAGTTGATTGCAAAGCCTTCAATATAGGGAAGGAGGAGAGAGCTCAACCCTGGAAACATATCTAATTTACCGGAAAGTGAATAGAAATTAAATGTCTCTTGACCTTAAGCTACAACAACTATGTCACATCTCATTTAAACATAGCATTAATCGTTCTTTCTTTTTATTACAAAAATAATTCACTTGTACTGTGGAAAATCTGAAAGCTAAAAGAAGCAGGAAATAGAAGGAAAAAAAGACACACATGATGCAGAATCTACCGCTGTTAACCAGTTTGGTAGATTCCTTGCTGCCCTTTGTTTTCCTTTTCTTTTGTCTTAAAGACATATTGTATATGCGATATGGAATTCATTGAAAGTTCTAAGATATTTTTATAAATTGTAATGGATGCTTTTTATACACATACTATCATTTAGTTTTTTGATCCTGTTTTGGACACATAGATTGTTTATATTTTTGCTATTAAATAATGGTGGAGAAACGTCTTTGCACACACACACAATAGGTACTGCACTTTGCTTCATTGGTGTAAGAAACATTATGGCCTGAATGAGTTTAGCTGAGTGAAAGGCTATGATTACATAGCCAAGCGACCTTACAAAAAGGCCTTACTAATTTCCATTCAACTGGTGATCCACGCAAGTGTTCACCCCCAAACTCAACAACACTGAGTGTTCTCAGAGTTCTTTGCATCTGACTACATTTTCAACCTTCTCTTAGCTAATTTACATTGCCCTGTTGTGAGCTGTCTGATCTTGTTCTTTAAAGCCTTATCTACTAGGGCTTGTTATTATTTTTTACTCAAGGATATGAGCTCTGTGAATTCTAAAATATCAAGCTGCTTTTTTTTTTTCTTTTGTAGAGATGAAGTCTCTGTATGTTGTCCAGGCTGATCTTGAACTCCTAGACTCAAGCAATCCTCCTGCCTTGGCCTCCCAAAGTGCGGGGATTACAGGCGTGAGCCACTGTGCCTGGCCTGCAAGATTTTGTCTATCATACTTGTTGTAAATATTTTCCCTTGGTGTTATTTGCTTTTTAATTGTGTGTATCTGGCTGTTAATGTAAGATTTCCAATGTTATGTGTTAAAACTATTCTTTCTGGTTCTTTCTAACACTTTAATTTTGGAAAGCCCTACTCACTCACTCTATGCAGCCAAATAGAGGTAAATATTATTTCTACACCCACCTAGCATGTGATAGCACTATTTTGAAAATATCAGCTCTTATTGATTTGGGTGCATGTGAACTTCTTCCTTACTGGTAACCTGCTTCCCCCTTATCATATATCAGATTTTTATGTGTGCTAGAATTTACTCTGAGTTATGTAGTTTCATGGATCTATTACTTTTTCTGGAGTCAGGATCACATTTTGTTCATTATCGTAGCTTTAAAATACAGTTGCATTAATCCTATTTCATTCCTTTTCTTTGTCCTCTTGAAATGTACCTCTTCTGGGCTATCCATTATTTCAGAAAATTTTTAAATAATGTTATTAATTTCAAGTAAGAAAAAATGTCAATTAACAGAAAAATGGAGGATATTTTATTAATAACATTGTAAACTATATGCGAATTAACATAAAATATAACTTTACAATATTCAGTTTTCTCATAAAAGAACATGGGATGTTGGTAGATTAATTTAAATCTTTTGTGTTTCTTAGTAAAGTTTTGTATTTCTATTTACATATTTTCTGCACTTAGTGATTAAAGTATGGATAGTTTATACTATCATTGCCATTGGAAATCAGATGCTTTTTAAATGACTTTTAAATTTTATATTGTAATGTTGTGAGCTTTGTTTTTTTTTTTCCCCATTTATTTATTTTATTGCATTTTAGGTTTTGGGGTACATGTGAAGAACATGCAAAATTGTTGCATAGGAACACACGTGGCAGTGTGATTTGCTGCCTTCCTCCCCATCACCTACGTCTGGCATTTCTCCCCCTGCTATCCCTCCCCAGCTCCCCACCCCCCACCGTCCCTCCCCTATTTCCCCCCAACTGACCCCAGTGTGTAGTGCTCCCCTCCCTGTGTCCATGTGCTCTCATCGTTCAACACCCGCCTATGATTGAGAACATGCGGTGTTTGATCTTCTGCTCCTCTGTCAGTTTGCTGAGAATGATGGTTTCCAGGTTCATCCATGTCCCCACAAAGGACCCAAACTCATCGTTTTTTGTTGTGAGCTTTGTAAACGGTCTTATTAATTCAAATAACTAGATATTTTCCTTACACTTTACAGATATAAACTCATATCCCTAAAAAAAAAATGGCCATTTGCTCTCATTAAAATAACCATCCCTGTAGCTTTTGCCTTATATTTTATTTCATTAGCTTGAACTTCAAGATCAATGTTAAATCACTAAAAACAGTGGTCAATTTCATATTGTTTCTGCCAGTGACAGGAAAGTATTTAACATAAAGCAGAACACTGGTCATTAAATAATGAAATAGTTGATGTTAATAATGAGACATTCATAATGACAGAGGCATTGACTTCCAGATTATATTGTCTAGATGAATATATTTTTTAATATGTTATTTTGCTAAAAATAATGACAGCCATGTCAGCCAAATATGACAGGCAGTTTTCATGACATTGTGGCAGCCATGAAAATGTAGCGCTTAGATTTCGGACAGCCGGAGATGGACCTAGTCCTGTGCTCTGGAGCCCCCATGCCCAGGCCATCCTCTGCAGGCTGCCCCGACCAATGACTGCACACAGCAGGGATGCAGAGGGCACCCATGTCCAGCAGAGCCAGGCTCTTCCGACGGCAGCATTTTAGAAACGACATTGCAGCGTGTGGGCTTCCGCTCCACTCTTCTCCCTTGCTCTCTCCTCCAGGAGGGTCAGGCCCTCACAGCTCCCTGGCCTTTTCCCCTCACAGGCTCTTTCCTCGCCCAACTCCTGCATGTCCAGTCCCATCCTGGCACCTGCTTTGCCAAGGACATGGAATGACACAAACCCTAATGATTTGGTCTGTGAATAGAAAAGCCAGGCTGCTTCGCTGTCCTTTCTGACCTGTCAGTTGAGTGACAATGTTATTTTGAAATCTCTGCCTTCCATGAGATGAAAAAAGTAAACCATT